CTGACGTTTCTCTCTCCTTCTCTTCCTTTCCCTCTCTCTCTAAAAATCAACAAATAAAATTTACAAAAGAAAAATGCATGCGTTGTACAGAGCTAGGCTGGGGTTAGGAATTCTGGATCCTAGGTTTGATTTATGACCAACCACTTGGTGGAAATAAGCATAGCTATAAGATGGGTTAATATACCCAACCGAACCCTCACTGTGTTGCTCTGAGGATAAAACTGGAATCTGATTAAAGATCTTCTTCACTTTGTCTAAGGTACACCCTAATGAAAAAGGAAATTTCCTAAGTAATTAAACCACTAAAAGTCTCCAAACATTCGTATAACAATCCTGCCCCACAGTCTGAAAAAGGGGGGGGGGGGAGATGAGATACCAAGCAGGCCAGGGGAAAAACAAATAGAGCCATTTAAAAGCTTTATCTAATTACCCCCACTGAGACTTTTTCTCTGCAGTCTGGCTGGCTCACAAAGAATGTGGGGGTTTTCATTGGGCTTTCTCCACCCTATCAGGACCACCCGCCCTCATGGAGTCTGAAAGGCCTCAGGTGAATCCTACAGGAGCAGTCAGTGCCCGGTCCTGGGGATTTTACAGAGGCTTTCAAATTCTCTTAGCATTACTTGCTTGCATCATACTGAACAAACAGTCTCCACCCTCTCCCACTCCTTTTGTCTGGAGCACCTATTCACTGGCAGCCATCTCTACTGATGGCTGACTGGCTCACCTGTATCCTGAAGTACCATCAGAAACAAGATGCACCAGTAACTGGAAGAAGCAGCTCCCTGCGCCCTCCTCCCCAGCCTCCCTTCCTCTCCACCGCACCCCATCTCCACCAGCAGTCACTGCCCAGGGAAGGCAAGCAGAGAAACAGACCAGCACAGTTGCTGACACTGTCCCACAGGACAGCTAACACAAAAGGGAAAAGTCCATCACCCTCACTCTCCATCTTTCTCACTCTTCTACCCCAGTCGTAATGCAAACACGGCAAATGGCGTTCCTGTCTGTACTCTGCCTCCAATGGGACTTGAGGGGATTAAAAATAAATGATGCATTTCAGGAAGCGAGCCGCATGCTTCCCTGTGGGTTTCACATGGTCCACCTTTTACCTCTAGTTTATGGGGAGGCCTCCCAAGACGTGGAAACCAGCACGTGACCTCTGCGTTTTGAAGAGGGCCATGGCTATTTCTACCCAAAAATCATTTCCTAAGTCAGAGAGAGAAAACTCACACGCCCGCCCCCTCAAAGGAACCCATCCAATCTCTTAATTATATTTGGATATAAAAAATATTACCCAACTCGCTTGTTCAGTAGGTCATATGTACACAAGTAACCTTGAGGCAGGGAAACTTTTGACTTATACAGGATTTGCCTTTCAACAAGGAGATGATTACCACCCAAGGATTCAGTAAGCATTCAACCATTTTATCTCACTGAAAAAAAACTCAAGATTTTGTAACATACTTCTGGTAGAAACGTAATGTAAATCACAATTTTTCCCCTACCATTTGGTCAGTCTTTCCAAAGATATTCTAAACCTAATATAATTATTTTTAAAAGGTATTAAGAACTAGGCTGAGTAAAAGGAGATGGAGAAGTGGAGTGCAAAGGAGAAGCGCCATTGAAACCTAAGGGAGTGACAATCTCAGCAAAGAGGGAAGAAAACTGTGTCCTGTTATCAGGAGAGATTACATTGCATACTTTCTATTGATACTATGTTCCATTTCTATCTTTTAAATGCAAATCTGTTTAACAGGGAGTGAAGTAAGACATCCCTTTATGGGTTAGGTAGATTTTCCAAAACAACTAAAAATTATATTAATAAATATAAGGGCGGTGATGTTACTCACAGGTACACTCCAGAATGGAAGTTTACCTTGAACACACAGGTGAGGGACAAGAAGTCCGCCCAGACGAGCTGCCATCTGACACCAGAGTTGGTCAGACCTGCATGAACTTCAATTAAAAGACACTTACAAAAGAGAGATTACTTAAATATGATAACAAAAACAAAACAAACGTAACACCCTACCTTCCTGGGTCAAAGGACATGGAGGACTCAGAAACTAATTAAATCTAGTAAATAATGCAAAATGGGAAAGAACTCCCTTTCAGGAAGACTTTGGTTAATTTTAGCATCCTTCTTTTTAGCTGCTTAGCAACCCTTATCCTATGACCTTTTGAGCATCACCTACTTTTCAGAAGGATAATGAATAGACACATCAAAAGGATTCACTTCTGCTTCTAGTAAAAACATTTAACCAATTGTTGCAGAAGCTAAACTTATGTTCATTATGACATACAAAACCCTAAAAGAGTAGGATTTTTTAAAACTTTATAAATCAGAAAATCTCCTTTGCTGATGGCAATAAATGATGTGGACAACTGAGCATAAGATAGCAAGTGAAGATTTCCAAATTGGCCTAGGAAGTGAACCAACACAGCAATTCAAAAACTGTACATAAAAATGACAGCTACATAATGAAAGCAACTAGCTATGGTAACTAATAAACAGCTGTTGATCCGGTGCAGGATTAACAAAGTTAGGTTTATTTTCAATATTCTGTGCCTGTCTTGCATGCAAATAGGACCTCAGAGGTCAGCCTGAAGAAATCTAAAATAAAAGACCCCTGAGTCAAAAGGTCACCTGCTGGATGATGTGAGCAATTTGGAATGGATGCACCACCTGTGCCAGCTGAGTCAGACGCACATTCCCCATCAGTAACAAACACTTCTCTGACATTTCTGATGAGAAATAAGTAGCATCTACAAAAACCCTGAGATTCATATGCCATATAAGAGTAAGCAGCAGCAGCATTTAAGAGTATCACCTAACCAGCAAATCCTCTTTAAAAACAAAACATCCTAAAATGCAAGCAGCTTTAACAGTATTTTTCAGAATGATAAAACAGTGTAAGTTCATTAACAACCTAAAATGGAAGCATAAGCTAAACAAGTAACTAAATCAAAGGGTTCTCCCATTCTTTTGTAAAAATGGGGTAGGAGGGAAGGTATTTTTTCACACATTTAAAACTTGATAAAAGCCATTCAAATGTTTAATTCATCAGTGTAACCAAAGCTCAAAACACATCAAAGCAGGATCCATCAGCCGGTACCCAGAAGGCTCCCTCCAAAGAGCAGCAATAAAAAAACAAAACAAAACAAAACAAAATCCCTAAAATTAGTGGTTCACCTTTGCATAAATTTGAAGAATAATTTCGAACTCAGTCCTTCAAAAGTTCTCTGTGACTCTTGAAGGAAGCACAGAACTAAACGTTTGCAAAAAAAAAAAAAAAAAGAAGAAGAAAGAAGTTTCAGCGAAGACAGCCTTAGACTTCCGGGTTACATTATGTGTTAGAACCATACCTGCCTACTCAAAAAGGCACCAGATCTGGGGGATGCTTTTTAAGGACTGTGAAGGTGGTGTGTGTGTGTGGGGGGCGGGGGTGGAGGAGGGGGACAACACCCTAAAAAAATTCTTTTCTTTGCAGTTCCTTCTCCATCTTCCACTTCAATTAAACTTAACTTCAGAATACACTCACGTGCATGCACAGACCACTGCATACGTAAAGAAAAATCTCAAAAATATGGGATGTACACTAACAACTCAGTCTTTGCAGAAATCATCTCAAGTCTCCTTTTCAAGAGAAATACCTAGCTATTTCCAGCATCCTATCCAACAAGCAATCTTTAGTTCCATTGGCTTTCAAAAGGCTAAGCTTTAAACTCTAAAACAAGCATGAGGGTTAACACCACCACTGATGAAAATCCTCAGACAGGTTTTTCAGGATACAAAAAAGTTATACTTTTTATCCACCTTCTACACCTCTCCACCACCATCACCCGCCCCCAAAGAAGAAAAAACTCCAAAGTGCCCCGAATGTGTGCTGCTGCTGGCTCTGAAGCCGTGTAGAATTTCGTAATGGAATGTGAACTGCTCGTCCGGATCTGGGCTCACGTTCTATCTTCTAACCAGTAAGGAGCGAGGAAGGGCAAATCTGCTGAGCAAGGAGAAATACTTTCCTCCTCTTTTATAACCCATCACGGATGCATCGCGGACGCTGGGAGCGAGCTGCACCACGGCGCCTGTCAACCAGCCGGCCCGCCTGCGGGTCCTCGAGCCCCCCGCGCCCCACCTCTACCCACCCACAACCGCCCGAAAAGTAAAGTAGCCCAGCCGAGAAGCGGGCTCGATCGCCGCGTCCCGCACTCAAGCGCCTCTCGCGGCCCCACGAACGGTCGGGGAACGAGTCACCACATCCTCGACGCGACCCTCGGCCGGGTTCAGAAAACACGCCGCTTCCCAGGGAGGGGGCAGGCGACGGGAAGGACCTCCCCGCTCCTTAGCAACCATTAAGGTCGCAGTTTCCTAAGAAACCGCGAGCAGGGAGGGGGCGCGGGGGGCTGAGCCGCGGGATGGGGGGGGGGGCGGGCGCTGGGTCCCCAGCCTCTCGACGCCGCTCCCCCCGCCCCCACACCCTCGCCGGGCGCTGCGGGCCGGGATGGGACGAGGAAGGAAGCCCCAGGAACTCGCAAAAAATTGGTCCAGCGGGCAGCGGACAAAAGTTTCCGAGAGCGCTCCACAGCTGGGCGGCGAAGCGGGCCCCGGCAGCCGGCCCCGCCTCGGATGCTCCCGGCCTCCTTCCTGTGCTCGTGACGGCGCCGGGCGCCGAGCCCCCCCACCCCCCACCGCGATGCAGGCTCGGCTCCACACCGATGGCTCCCACGAAAACACGTACACTGCCAACGGAAGGGCAAGCGAACAATACGCGGACGGGGCTCCGGGCCCCGCAACCCCTGGTCACCCGGGACGGTGGTCGGCGTGACCCGCAGCCAGGAGCCCGGAACGAGCGAGGGAGCAGGGCTGCCCGCGGCCCCCTCCCGGCCGGCGCGGTCCGCCGGGGAGGATCAAAGTCCGCAAAGCAGGGCGCGGCGGATGCTCCCACCGCGTCGCCCTGAGCGGCACCCCCGAGCCGGCACCCTGGGCGGGCACCCCCAGATACCTTGCGGCAGCAGGCGGGCGCCGTCATCTCCGCGCTGCTCGGCCCGAGAGGGACTCGAAAGTATGTAGGAGAAAAGTTTCCCCTCCCACATAGGGGGGGAGGATGTCGGGGGAGCGAGGGCGGAAGATGGAGAGCAACCCTGGGAAGATGTTTCAGGCGGCGGTGCGTGCACCATCCGAGTCCCCGCAGTGGTCGTTAAAAATAAATTGCGCGGCGGGCGCGGCGGCGCGGGTCGGGCCGGATTCCTGCGCTCGGACGGCTACTACGGATGAGCATCAGGTCCCGGCGGCGGGGCGCTGCGGCGGCCGCGGCGGCTCGCGCTGGGAGCTAGTTGGCAGAGCCGGCCGCTCGGGAAGGGGAAAGGAGCGGAGGAAGGGGAGGGGGAGGGGGAGGGGGAGGAGCGGCCCGGCGCGCAGCCCGAGGGGAGAGGGCTGCCCAGCTCATCCCGGGCCAGCCCCACCGCCCCGAGAGCACGCAGCGCGGCGCAGGGCGCTCGGGTCCTCGACTCCGGGAAACAGCAAGTTTGAAAAGTACGACGCGCTGTGTAGACTTCACCCTCCCCATCCCCAAAAGTTCTTTAAAAGGTCGCTCCCACTCAGCCCCAGACATCTCGCTGCCACCCGAGTCCCGGGAGCCGGAACCCGGGGCGCGTACTTACGGCCGGGCTGGGCGCTCGGCTCCCAGGCATGATGTCGTGGGGACTGATGGGCTTCGGGGAGCGAACGAGGAGAGATGCAAACTTGTTCCGGAAAAGGAATCAAAATGGCGTTTCTGGATGTGCAAAGTTCATCAACTCCGTAGTCACTTCCCCTCCTCCTCTTCTCCCACAGGGAGGGAGGTGGGCGAGGAGCTGGCGACCCCGGCGCCCCAGCCGTCGTCCCGGCCCCCGCCTCAGCCCCCAGCCCTGCTTCCTCGCCCGCACGCTCGGAGACTCGCTCTCCCCCTCTCGCCCTGATAAGTAGACACATCACGTGTTGCTCCTGCCAGTCTCCTGGGGACGTGTTACAGAACCGCCGCGGCGGCGGCTCGGGCTGGGGGTGGGAGGGACCGCGGTACCCGCCTATCCCCCCGCCCTGATTTTAGCTGTGTGACCACTGTTTCCATTCCAGGATGGATGGAGGTGGAGTCGCCCACCCCACCCCCACCAGCCCCAGGTTTGCCCCAAGCCCTCCGCGGGCGCCCCGGGCCAGGGGGTGGGTCCGGCTGCCCCAGGGTAAGGGTCTCAGCGGCTGCAGCTGAACCGGATCCCAATCAGCCCAGCGCTCGCTGGCCCGCCACCTTTTAGGACCACCGCGCTCCCTCCCCTCCATCCCCTCACTGCAGGCGGCTCTCCTACCCTAGCTTTCCATCACTTTACTCCGTGGTTTGTTCCACTATTTTAACGGAGGAAAGGAGAGAGGTAGCAATACCCTGGAGGCGTCAGAGGGGAGCCTCGGAGGCCCGGAGGGGGGTGGCGTGGGGGTCCAGGTGCCTGGCCTGGCGCCGCCCCTCTTAGTCTTGGAGGCGAATGGTAAGGTGAACCCCACCCATGCCCTTCCCTATCCACGAGGTTCTCGCTCCGCATCCAGGTGAGACGAGTAGATGATGGGGCAGGAGATTAAGGAACGGCCTCTTTACTCGGCCCCGAACTTCGGGCTGTTTCTTGCAGGGGGCGGTACTTGGCACTTTAAACTTCGGTGCTGCCATCCGGGAGCGTGTTCCCCGTCTAACAAACTCAACGCCAACTTGGCTCTTGTCACTTTTTCCTCACCACCTTCCAGAACCCACGTTTAGGCGGGAGCTGCCGGCCCCCAAGGGGCAGAAAGGCAGAGGTTTCTAGGGTCACAGTGTCCCCACCCCGCGAAGGAACGGCTGATGCTGTGTCATCCACATCACCCTCCTAGGCATCAGGGAAGCCACATGCAATATCTCTTTCTCTCAGAGGGCTCCTGTTTCAACTCTGAAAAGCAGGGGCCTCCTCCGAGCCCCTCTCCATCTCTACAGCTCCCTCCACCACCAGGCTCAGCCCTGGCTGCTGTGGCCCAAATTATCACGGAGCCCAGGGAAAACAGGCCTAGGCTATGCTTCCTCTTAAAGCAGCTGACATGTTTCCAACTGTTAATGCTTCTCCTACCGAGGTACTGAAAGGGCCTGTTCTCAGCCTTTGGAAACAATTTCAGACAGATAAAGGGTGACTGTGGTTGTGGAAAATAAACACCACCACACACCCCAAATCCTAAAGACAAATATGCTTCCTAACTGGTTGCAGAGAATACTACTGTAGAATTATGCACTTGAGATTAGTTAGGTAAGATGATGTTGTACATGTACAGAAAGGTCTCTACTCTATTTACTTTGACCTTTGACCATGACTCTATCACACCAGCTCCCCTGAAGACACCTGCACACCACAGTTTTAGGCCCAATCATAGGCCTTTAATTGCCAGCCTTCACTGGCACTCCAGTTTTCAGGGCTGCAGATAGAAGTGTCTAACTAGGGATGGACTAAATGGATGGGTTCTGGCCAAGGCAGAACTCTAGAACCAAGCAAAAACAGTTGGACTATTACCTCTGACTTGAGATAAGGCTAAACCACTGCCCAAGAGGGAACCGATTCAGCTGGCTGTATCTCTGATGTCCAGATTCATCAAAATTAAGTTTTCAGAACCTGTTATGTTTCCCATGGTCTATTGTTTACTGAGGAAAACTCTGTGCAAAGAAGCTTTAGCACTTGAATTTTTCTAAGTCTCTCCTACCCCATGTCCCCAAGTGTTATCAAATGCTTTTTTGAAGACAGGTGTGCCCTTCAAAAAAGGGAGGAAACGGCAAGTTTTTAAGCAGGAGTAATAGTTCACACAGTCAGCACAGAATTGGTGTCTGGAGCTTCCAAGCTGTAACGTGTTCCAGTGACAAGGCAAAAGAAGGGTCATGTCGGGAATGCTACTTTATGCATTCGCTCCGTCCTGCCCTGGGGAGTCAGCCTCTCCTGGTTCCATCATTCAGTGGTAGGGTTTCCTCATTCAGCAGGAAAAACACTGAAATTGGAATTTTGCTTGTGATTTTAGCTTCTTCTATAAAATACATTCAAATCTGCAAAGCTACATGAATTTTTCATGACAAATCACCACCTTTATAATGTCGCCCAGGTAATACTGGCAACTAAAAAGAGAGAGAGAAAACAGTTTAAAAGTAACTTTTAAAAACTGAATTCTGACGATACTGGGTACTGTGTTCATCTTTTCTAGCTGATTAATAAACTTGCCAGTCAAATGATCTGTTGAAAGATCTGTTTGTTCATATTCTATATAAAGATCATTTATCTGACAAATATCCAATATCTAACAGGTAAAAAGAGTCATGCTATCAAAACCACAATGAAATACTACTTCATATCCACTAAGATGGCTAAATCAAAAACACTAAGTGTTGACAAGTGTGTGGAGAAACTGGAACACTTATGCATTGCTGGTGGGAAGTAAAATGCTGCAGCCACCTTTGGAAACAGCTTGTCAGTTATTCAAAATGTTAAACATTGAGTTACCACATGACCCAGCTATTCCACTCCTAGCTACATACACAAGAAATGAAAACATATGTTCACATAAGAACTTGTACTTGAATGTTCTAAGCACCATTATTGATAATAGCTTTTTTGTAGAAGCAACCCAAATACCTATCAACTGATGAATAAACAAAATGTGGTCTATCCAAACATGGAATATTATACAACCATAAAAATGAAGTGCAAATATATGCTGCAACATGGACTAATGTAGAAAACCTGCTAAATGAAATAAGCCAGACTTGAAAAGACAAATATTCCATGGTTCTGTTTCTGTGAAAAGTCCAGACTAGGCAAATCTACAGAGACGGAAAATAATTTGCTTAGGGCTGAGAGTTTGGGGGAAATGGGGATTGATTACTCGGTGTAAGAGGTTTCTTTTAAGGGTGATAAAAGGTGTTCTAAAATCAACTGTGGTGATGACTGCACAACCCTTAATATATTAAAAGCCCTTGAACTGTATATGTTAAACATGTGAATGGTATGGTATGTAAGTTATATATCAATAAAGCTGATATGTGTATACCTCTATGAAATTGTGAAGGGTTCTGTAGTGGAGAAGCCACACAAAAATGGATAATTTATCATCTGTGTCTTAAAAGAGTGTTCACAATCTAATCTACAGAGATTAGATGTATATGAAGTAATCATGAAATGCAAATCCACGACATATAAGAACAATTAAATAAGTACAAAATTTGGGGATTCAGAGAAAAAAGGTCACTTCTAATAAGAATAACTGGAGAAAGCTCTTCATGGAAGAGAAAGCTACTGGAGCGGAGCCCTGGAGCATGGCTAGCAATTTGGTAGGTGGAGACTGGATTAGAAACAACAGCTACAAAGGCAGGATGATAGCAAGTCACGGGTCCTGTTTGGAGATCAGCAAGGATTCCAGTGTGGCTGGATTATAATGTATACAGTAATACAGAGATGATAAGACTGGGAGGTAAGCAAGCTGAAGCTGCCCCCCACAAGGATTTTTAATGCAATCCATGGAGAAAACCTTAGGTGTGAGGGGGAACTAAAGTAGAGATAGAGGGAATGGAGAAGAGATTATCAAGAACCTCTACAGTGGAGGAAGTGATAGAGTATCAGCTGATAGACTGGGAATGCAGAGGTGAATGAAGAAGTGAGGGCCAAGATAATGCCTGGGTCTTAGCCAGGTGACTGAGAGAATGAATGACAAAAGGAGAAAGTCAGGGGTGGGAGCACAATGCAGTAAGAAGGTGATAGACTAGGGGATATTGAACTCTATGGAAAACAGAGCTCTGCCAAGTAAGAGAATCAAGAAGAAAAAGGATGTAGACATTGGAAAAGGCCACTTGGATAAGGTGACACATCTACTGAACCTTATAAGATGTATAGGTGTCCCACAGGCAGAGAGGAGGGCACAGGGCCCTCCAGGCAGAGGGAGCTGTGAGTAGTAAGTGCAAGAGAATGAGGTGTAAAACAAGGTCAGTTTCCTGAACTGCAAATACTTCCCTCTGTGACTAAAGCAGAGGGAGGGGGGGGAGGCAGCAAGAGACTGAGCTGGAGAAATAGCCAGTGGGCCAGACCACCTACAGCTCCGTGTATCTCACAGGTGACGCGTACTTTATCAGTGAGGCCTTGAAAGGGCTTACGAAGGAGGGTAGACAGAGCATCCCTCAGGGTACTGTGCAGAAGGGTCTGGAGAACTCAAGACAGGAAGGCTAGTAAGGAATTATTAGAAGAGTCCATCTAAGAAACAATAAGGACCCAGTAGGTAGAACCACTGGCTGTAGGGGTGGAGAGAAATGGATTGATTTGAGACACAATTGGGACACAGATTCAACAGAATTTGACCAGGTCAATATATGAGAGAGAGAACAAAAAAAATCTCTCTGGAGCACTGACCAAAAGTGTATCAGCAAAAGAAGGTAAATCATTGCAGCAGTGGTAGAGTGACCCATAACAGTAAGGGATTAAAGCAAAAACTGGGACAGGGAGAGGGACAAGAAGTAGATGTCAAAGAAATGAATCCACTGGGTTTGGTCCCAAGTGGTTGTGGAGTGAGAAGAAAAGAGCATGAAGGAAGACTGCTTCTCCGGTTGGAGGTTCGAGCACCGAGTGGGTG